GTTATGATACCACTTCTTTTTTTCTTTCCTTTGGTTTTCTTCCCCTCTCCCTCCCTCCCCACCCTTTTTTTTCCCCTTTGTTATTCTTTTTTTGGCATTGACGTTGAAAGTTTGGCATAATCTTTCATTTATATGAAGATGTGTTACCTTGCTGGACCAGTTCCTTAAATGTTTCAATATGAACAGTAAAATTTAACAGGAATAAAATAGTCCATCTTGCCTTCATTCCATTTTACCCAGGAGATCTAGAAACAAACATTGACCAATTAACAAAAATGGATTGCTTTGATACAGTGATGTAGTGGATATGGTAAAATTGTTTTTCTTAAAGCAACTTTACATATATTTAAAAAAATTATAATGTTCTTTCAGTGAAGCTTGAAATTATTTATTCAATATTAGAAGTTTCATTTCATTTAATTATAAAGTTATGGACAGAAATCCATACATACTCATTATTAATAAATTCTTGTTGTTGTTAATTACATTAAATTTTATTTTTCCTATTTTTAGTAATTATGCACAAAAGTATATGTGCTTCAGTTTTTCTCATCAGACTCTAAATTAACTTTATTAATTATGCCAATTACTATACAGTGTTTGTAGTCCCCTCCATTCTTTAGTGCCATGAGCAGGCAACTCCAGCAATGCATTATAGTCTATCTATCTATCTATCTATCTAGTTTATGCATAGCAGTCTAGTATTTTAATTGCTGCTCTATCAAATTAGAAACATGGCATAGATGTTTATCTGAAATTGTGTGGCTAACTATAGAGATGGGAGATGTTTCTTTTTACCTAAGAGCAAAATTTGATTATTCCTTTATGCTTATAACATATATGATATTTTATATTACGTGTTTCAGATATGAAATAGTTTTTTTGTATCTGTTCCTTTCATCAGAAACTTTTTAAATTTAATCAAGAGATTTTACAAAATATTTAAAAAATTCTTATTTTATGCCTTGAAGTTAAAGAACTGTATGCTTCAATAATAATAATGATTTAGAGGCTTAGTCCAGCTGTGATTTTTTTTTCTGGAAAGCCAGTTTAAGTAACTCCTTCTTAAAATATTTTTTTAAAACACTGATAACTTAATCTCCCATTGCTATCCTTTAATACCCACAGCTCCAAAAAATCTGTATTTGTTAGTGTAATCAGTCCTTATTTTTCATTTCAGTTGTGTGTTTGTACAAGTAGTACACATGAGCCTATAGCTTGAAGATTTTTTTTTTTTTTTGCACAGTGATTCCATCTCCCCACTGTGGCAAAAAGTGTTGAACACTTACTAATTGTTTCCTGTGCACTGGTTTCACCTTTCTCCCCTGATTTTTATTAGGTTCTGAGCTCATGCCCAAAGCCCTCTCCACCAGGATAGTGGGAGGCATTTGGTGGTTTTTCACACTTATCATCATTTCCTCGTACACTGCTAACCTAGCTGCCTTTCTGACAGTGGAACGTATGGAATCCCCTATTGATTCTGCTGATGACTTGGCTAAGCAGACAAAGATAGAGTATGGGGCAGTTGAAGATGGAGCAACCATGACTTTCTTTAAGGTAAGCTTTACATTCTGTTTGAAAAGGTAACATATCACAACTGTGGAAGGAAAGATCTGTGAAGCCTGCTGAGGTTTAGCAAAGGAAATTATTTCCCCGCAAGCAAAAAGCAACTGAAAATCTCTTTTCTTAGGGTTTACAAGATAGCAAATGAAGCAAATGAAAAATCTCTCATGGAAAATAAGTTTTTTTAATGATTTTTTCTTTAAGAATCTAATGTATAGTAACAGAATAAGTGAACAAACATGAACACTTTGCTTGGATAGTTCTCCTGTGAGAATGAGTTTTTTTGGAACAGGATTTGAAGTATCATTTCAGTAGCATCATATTTTGTCTTTGCTCAAGCAACTGGACTTCTCTATGGATATAAGAAGCTGGATAAAGAAAAATCTTTTGAAGGCTCTTTGGTAATGTATTCTGTTTTGATGGACATTATGTTCTCACTTAAAGCTTTGAGGTGACTGTTGCACTGGCATTTGAAACTAGGCAAAATAAGGTACAAAATATAAGCTGGCCCAGAAATTGAAGAGTGTGTAAACAGATTCAGAGATGTTTGCTTCTTTTTTTTTTCTTTTCTTTTTTTTTTTTTTCTCTCAGATGTCAGGTGTCTAAAAAGTCGCTATTTATTGTTATAACCTTACAAGCTATCCAAGGGTACGCTGTTTTATTAAAAAATATATACATATATAGATCTCTCGTCTTTTGCTTGGAAATTAAAATCAACTTCAGTGTATCAGAATGTTTTAGGCTGCTTAACTTTTAGCATGCATTGGGAATGTTCACAGTATTTTCCTCAGAATGCTTCTTAGAAAAGAAGCTGAGGAAGTCAATAGAAGTAAGTAGTCAATTAGAAGTCTATAGATGTCAGGAAATATTTCAAGTAATTAAATGAAATATAACTGAAAGAAAGTTTATAAGCTTGGATTTTTTGAAGTGTGAAAATGATTTAAGTCTCGGGACTTAGATGACACAATGTATATTACCAGAAAATACTATGGGGTTTTATTTTCATTCTTGTCCTGAAGAAGGCTTGGAACTTGTTCTTTCTGAGAATGAAACTGTGGACTCTAAAATATCAGAAAGCAATTTTAACTTGCCAATAATTTTTTCAGCAGTAATTTTACCAGAAGCAACTTCCTAACTCTTAGTTTTCCTTCCTCTAACCTTTAACTTTCTGTCTTATTCTCTCTTTTTCATTTTTTTTTAATGTGTGTGATTTGTCTTTTCTTTTAGAGATGATGTTTTCTTCTTTGTATGTTTTTCCATCCACATATCACTATACTACTTTCTTTCTGCATGTTTCTTTCTTACTGTTCTCTTTCTTCTTCTGTTTTTATTTAGCTAGATATATTTTATGCTTTTCTCGTAAATTGTAGTCGTGAATGAGAGAGAATTCTATCAAAATAGGAATTGTGCATAGACTTATGTCTTTGAAATACCCTGAACTTAACAGAGCAATGGCATTAGATCACATTATTTAATATTGCTTTATTATAATACTGAATTCTCCTACTTTGTTATGAATGAGAAAGAGAAACCAGAAAAAAAAACTTTGGATTTTATTCTGCTTATAAACTTTAGGCCAAATTAAGGTTACTTTAGTGAACAAACATATTTAGACTTTGTGTGTGAACAAGTTGTAGATATTATTTTGGAAGATAAAAATGCACTGAAAGGTCAGCTAGCAAATAAATTATTCCAAATACTTTTTTTCTGATCAGTTTAATATCTTATCTAAGAAGTATGGAAATTAATTAGTATAATTTTGTACCTAGTAAAATGTATCCAAACTTAAGCATTAGAAGTAGGCACAACTGTTCTTGTATTTCAGCCAATAAGATGAAATCATGCTCAAAAGAGAAATAAATAGAATCTCATTTGATTCATTCAGTGTCTGAAACAGTTTCCAAGTGGAAATTGGAACATGCTTGATGTAAATGCTTTTTACTAGAGCTAACTGTATAAGGAATATAATCAAATTAAATTAAATATTTCTACAGTAGAAAAGTGTCTATCTGTTCCAGTAAGCTTTCTGGTAAAATTAGGTAGTTTTACTTGAGAAGGTTTAAATATCAGAAAACAAAATACTGTAGTTCTACTCTGTCTATACTGTTGTGTTTGCAAAGTAAATTTGTATTTTCTATACACAAATTACTTCAGGAATGTGATTTTCTTACTTAGAGAAAAGAAAACAAGTTTGAAGGGAAATTGCCTTAAAAGATAGTACTAGATACTACTAGCAGTTCATAGGTACTACTATAAAATTATTATAAAAAAGACCCTTAAGAACAGGCAAGTGACCAAAGAAGACAAAAATAAAAAATAAATCAGAAAAGTGTCTTAATGTACAGAAATGACGCCAAAAATAGATAGTACAGAAAGGCTTCAGTTGCCTATTTCTTCCTGCATTGTGGACGAAAACTAGGATAAGAATGTTTTAAATTGCTTTTCAAACAGATTATTTTATCAAACAGATGAAGGATGGCTTAAAACAGTAAATATTAGTTTGTTATATGAACAAATGAATCGGGAAGGAAGAAACACTGCTTTTGTATATGACATTATGGAAACTATTAATGTAATATTTGGTCCCTTTCTGGTGACCACAGTTCAACAATAAGTTTAAAATTAGAAGGTATTCATAAAAAGTCAAAGAACAGCTGTAGATCTGGAAGAAAAGTTTTATAGTTTAAGGCTAAAGATGATTGTGCTATTTAATCTGCTGAAGAGAATGTTAAGAAGTGACTTGATCACCTTCTGTAAGTGCCTTAAAGAGAATGAGACTTCTGACGGTAAATGACTGTTTAATCTAGCAGAAAAAAAAAAAAAAAAAAAAAAAAAAAAAGCCATAACAAGATCCAGTGTTTCAAAGCTAAAATTAGGCAAATTTAGACCAAAAATAAAGTGCAAGTTTTTAAGACTGTCAGTAATTAAACCGTGGTAGAACTCATCGAGTAGTCGACTGGATTCATCCATCAGCTATTCTGAAGAGAATACATATAGCATAGCCCAAGCTTTTTTTAGAGCCTATTCAATGACATACATAGCCATCATTAGCTCAGATTAGATTTTAGTGGTTCCCTCCTACTTTAAAAATCTATGGGAGTATATTTTCTGGAGGGGTTGCCCAAAGGTGTCTGAGGAGATAAATTTATCATCTGTGTGTATGTTTTTCCTTAGCTGCTTTGTCTTCTTATAATGAGACTGGATTGAGCAAAACAGTGTCATTGTGTTACAACATGAAATGAAGGCACCAGATGGTTTCCTAATGTTAAATGAAATTATCATATCTTGGTAATAGTTATTAGTTCCAGTCACAGTGAGGATCAGTAGCTGCCTATGAAACTGACAGTAATTTCTGCATAAATTATCTAAATAGAAGTCCATTTAATTTTTTCTTTAAAAAAACTTTGGAACCTGGCCAAGGCTGTCTGACGCTAAAGCCAAAGAATATTTTTTGAAGAAGAACATAAATGAGAATCAGGAAAAACAAAATAACTGCTTGCTAACATTACAATCTTAGAGAGCACTGGGGCATAACATACTGTTATGTTTGTACTGATATGAGGTTTGCTGAGAGACCTTGCAGAGTTTCCCTTCATGGAGGCATTCAAAATCTGTCTGGACCTGGTTCTAGGCAACTGGTTGTAGGTGTCCCTGCTTGGGTGTGAAGGCTGGACAAAGATGACCTCTAGAAGTCCTTTCCAACCTAAACCTTTCTGTCGTTCTGCAATGCTGCTACTCTTGTGAATGAAACATCCCTGAGAAATACCTTTGATGAAAAAGGAGGATGGTGTCTTTTGAGGCTGATTAGGTCCTTCAGATCATCATCTGGCTCCTCATGTTCTCAGAAATGTGATATTACAACTTCTTTAGGAAGTCAGAAAGGGGAAGAAATTTACAATGCTATCTAATCTGAGTGTAGAAAGGAATGAGTTATACAAAGCTGGATATTTCTGACTGGATATTTCATTGGGAAACAATAAAAAAGTCCTTAGCATTATTCAAGAATTGTAAAGAAGGAAATGTGAAAGCAAATTCTATGCAGCGAAGCTGATTCTTTCCTCTCTTGATATATGTTTTGATGTTTCTCAGATTGCTGAATTTTTCTTAGTTACATTTTTCCCTTTTCTTTTGGCCGCTTCGGCTGGTGTCAAGGCTTTCCAAAATGCTTATAGCCGGAAAATGGTAATGAAAAAGAGTCTTGACTGTTCCTGTGTTGCTCCCAGGATTTGGAAATAGGAATTAGAAATTAGACTGTTGATAGTTTGCATGTTTCAGAAGCCTGCTTTCCTTCTTCTTTGGAATGAAATGAAAACTTATTATTTTTATGAAAGATACTTTTCTCACAGTAGCTGCGCTTTGATTAAAAAAAAAAGTTCAGATTTTTCATTACCTCGTTTTTCTGTGGTCTCTTCAGCCTCTCAAAAAAACAGTGTCTGTTTCTTTTATACTGACAGTTCTGATAGTGAGAAGAAAAATGTGAATTCCACCCTGCTTCTGTTTGTACCTCAGCTCTATTCACATACGGAAAAGAAATACTACAGCACATGTTTATGTTGGTCTACAATTTTATGATTACTTTTGTGAAGTTGCTATGGATCTTTGTTTTTCTCTCTTTTTTTTTTTAAATCTCTACCACTCAGTGTCAAATTTTTTTCTATGTTTCTATAAAGCACCATGTACAGTGGAACTTTTCTGAACTAAGATTAATTAACATTTACATAATAAATAGTAAAATCAAAGTAATTCTTCTTTCTCTAGTAGCATTTGGCTCATGTCATTGCTTCTGCATCATGAATTAAAGTTGCTTATGAGAGTCATTTATTTTAAATCTTTGTTTTACTGGTAAGGAAGCTGAAACACTAACAGAATACAAATTTTTCATGATCACTTGGTGAAAGGCAGATAGTGAACTAATTTAGAAAAGCAAACTTGTGCACCTTAGTATAATCTCATATATTTTTTGTCATTTGTATTTCCCAGTTTCTTTCCTTTTC